TCGATCCTAATACTGGGTATCAGTATATTGACGCTAACGCGCAGTATATGACTAATAATTTAACAGCGGAACCTCATATGAATATTCCTTACAATCATTTCGGGGGCGGAGATCCTGTGCACGAAGCCAGGACAGAAATGAAACCTTCTACAACTCCAAGAAAAATTGTAACTAAAAAACCAAGCTTTGGTATATATGGCAACAATGACCCAGTGAATCATGCACGTTATGAGCCGACAAGGGCGGGACAGATGCCGTCAAGAGTGGAACAATTCACGCAGAGAAAAAAACAGGAACAGTTGGAGCTCCAACAGCTTGAGTTGTCGCGACATGGGTCAAGTCCAATTCTGGATGCTGCCGCTTTGGAGAGACAAAGACTTTGTAGAACTCCTATACCGATGGGAAGTACTTCATCATTGAACTACGATCCAGCGCTGCTTCAGCGTTCCTCAACTCCTCTTGATGGTTTCATCAAACCGCAAGTCATCACGAGTGTGTGGGAAGATGATGTAGAAAATACCAAAAAAAATAAAAGCAGGATACAGCGATCAAAGCAGAAGAATTATGAAGTTGGAGAGAAGTCTGCCAAGAAACCATCACTTAAGAACTCGCTTAGAACAATGTTCTTTAAAAAGAAGTAAGTTTCAAATTTTATCATTCAAATTATATTTTATGCACAACTCATCATGTACCATATTTCGTCTATTACCAGGTAGTTTGATCACATGATTTTTGCTAAAACAATAATTTGTTTTTTCCTTCCTGAAACAAATAACTACAAACTCTGTCACTCCATCTTGATGTTTCTTAGTATTCATGAGAACTAAAACTAGTTACACCTTTGAGAATTTCTGTGTTTTGTTCAACATTTAGCACTCTCTGTTTGACATTTTATACCTCTACTAACATCTTTGAAATCCTATGAAATATAATTTATTTTTTCTTCTAACAATTCAGCCTTCTTCACAAATACCGGTAATCATTTTTCCATGGTGCAATTAAAAGAAGAATTAAGATCATTGGATTTTAACTGCCATGAGAATTAAACTAACGGTAG